TATGTTTTTTGGACCCGAACACGGACATATCACTGGCTTGGAGTTCGGTGTTCGGCGATTTAATGGCGCGTTTTGAAAGGCTGCAGGGCAGCTAATCAACAAGCGTTTGACTCGTGTGCCCTTAGAAGCCATCACAGCCATGCCTACTAATGGCATGGCTATGATTGGCCAGTGCAGCATGTGACCCAGCCTCTATATATAAGCTGGAGTCGCGTAGCGCTGCACGTCACATGAGCTCTTATTAGTGTAGGGAGAGAATGCTGCTCCTTTCAGGGACAGATTAAGAAAATAATTCTGCAAACTAGTACATTAGTGGGGTGCACTTCATATCGGAGAGTCAAATAGAAGCGTCAAATACTGCGGTTACATCAGAGTTTTAAAAAGTCTAATTTTTTTGTGCTAAATAGTACATTAGTGGGGTGCACTTCATATCTGAGAGTCAAATAGAAGCGTCAAATACTGCTGTCACATTGCAGTTTTAAAACTTAAACTTTTTTGGGTGCTAAAAAGTACATTAGTGGGGTGCTCTTTATATCTGAGATTTAAATAGAAGTGTCAAATAGTGCGCTTACAGCGCAGTTGTAAACATTCTGATTGTTTTGGTGCTAATCTGCTAAATAGTACATTAGTCAAATAGAAGCGTCAAATAGTGCGGTTACAGCGCAATTGTAAACATTCTTATTTTATGGGTGCTAATCTTCTAAATAGGACATTAGTGGGGTGCACTTCATTTCTGTGAGTCAAATAGAAGCGTCAAATAGTGCGGTTACAGCGCAATTGTAAACATTCTTATTTTCTGGATGCTAATCTGCTAAATAGTAAATTTGGGCCCTGCACTTCATATCTGAGAGTCAAATAGAAGCGTCAAATAGTGCGGTTTAAGTGCAATCAGGGCCGGATTAACATAGGGGCTGATGGAGCTGCAGCTCCAGGCCCAGGCCCATGGAATAGGCCCATTGATTTAAAAAAAAAAATTTTTTTTTTTTTTTACATTTTTTTTTTTCACACACTACTCTTAGGGATTCCACCTGGCTTTTATTTTATTGGCACAGCCAGTATTTGATGCTGCCTGGCTGGTGCCAATATTGCAGTGATATTGGCAATACAAATGCTGGTATTTTTCTCAGTATAAACAAGAGATTACTATGCAATACCAGCACTGGCCAGTAGGGGTCGCTGTGTGTGGAGACAGGCAGGGATAGGAAGTTCCAGCATTTCCCTCCCTGCCTATCTATACTCACTGATCTGCAGGGGTGCAGCTACAGAGAGTCCAGACAGCAATTCCCACCCTGCAGAGACAGCCTACAGCTCAAGGAAGTAAGGGATGGGGGGAAAGGCTGCAAGGAGACATACACTGAGACACTAAGGGACATTGGGAGACATTATGACATAGACACATGGGGACACAGTGTCCCCATGTCTCCCAGGCAGTGTCCCTGGTGTCTCAGTGCCCCCTAGTCTCCCAGTGACCCCTTGTCTCCCAGTGCCCCCAGTCTGCCAGTGTCTCACTGTCCCCATGTCTCCTAGTGCCTCCATGTCTCTCAGTGCCTCAAGTGTCACAATGTCCCCATGTGTCCAAGCTAGTGTCTGTGGCCCTGGTGTCTCAATGTCCCCATGTCCCCCAGCCATGTCCCCCAGCCTAGTGTCTGTGTCCCTGGTGTCTGTGTCCCAATGTCTTCAAGTGTCCCCTATTTTCCCATTGCCCCCATGTGTCCCAGCCAGAGTCCCCTAGTCTCCCAGTGTCACTATTGTCTCTGTGTCCCCAGGTCTCCCCGTCTTCCTAGTGTCCTAGTGACATGGGGACCCTGGGATACATGGGGACACAGGGAGACATAGGGCATTCAGACACTGTGATACATAGGATCACTGGGAGACCTGGGGACATGACACTGGGAGACATGGGACACTGAGACACTGATACATAGGACCACTGAGAACTGGAGTAATCGACACATGGGGGCACTGAGTCATGAGGGCACTGGGAGACATGGGGGCACTGGGAGGAATCCATCTATACAGCAGAATCAAACGTAGTTTTTTGGTGATTTTACAGCATTTTCTCTTATGTCACTCCTTGTGATTTACATTATGTGATGTCACCCATACATATTTAATTATGCAAATTAGTACGGCCGGTATGTTTTTCCAAGAAAGGTGGCGACCCTAACTACTTTTCACATACTCTTACTTAAGTATGGAAACTTAAGAGGGATGTATGGGAACAAAACTTGTGTGGACTGGCTGACAATGAATATAGTTAAAGGGACACTATAGTCACCAGAACAACTACAGCTTATTGAATTTCAGGCTTTTTGCTGCACTGTCTTTTCAGAGAAAATGCAGTTTACATTCTAGTGATAACACTGGTCATGGCTGTTATAGATCCTTCCTGGGTCATGGCTGCCTAAAATGCATCCAAACATTCAGTGTCTCCTCCCTCTGCATGCAGACACTGAACTTTCCTCATAGAGATTCATTAATTCAATTCATCTCTATAAGGAGATGCTGATTGGCATGGGCTGTGTTTGAATCATGCTGGCTCTGACCCTGATCTGCCTCTTTGTCAGTGTCAGCCAATCCTTTGGGGAAGCACTGTGATTGGATCAGGCTACCACTTCTAATGATGTCGGCAGACTGCTTGTTTTTATGAGTCTAACAGCATGCAGAGTTACAGCTTCAGGCTTGAATATAGTAAGATTTTGCTAGATTTATGGAGGCATGAGGGGCCCAGGGGAGCTAGATGGTGGTGTTAACACTATAGGGTCATGAATTCATGTTTGTGTTCCTGACCCTATAGTGATCCTTTAAGGTAATGATGACTTTGGTCTCTCTAATACTGTGGCATGTTCCCTTTCTTCTACACTCACTACATACAGCTTTTCTCTGTCCCAGACTATATACCAGGACCTTCTGCCTGCCACTAAGAAGGTAAGGAGACAAGTGGACCAGCGAGTGCTAGGGGACAGTCCTTAGAAAGCGTTGAGTGAGCGCATCATTAGATACATTTATGCCAAGCCCTTAGTTGGCCAGCTGCATGATTGGCAGGCAGCCTGACATGCATTCATGCCAGGCTGGCCTTCTAATTCTTTGGGCAGACATGTCCTCTTTTTGGGCATGTTCGCCCTTTTGGCAGGTTACGTGATTTGTGTCAATGGCACACCCTTTTACCTTCCTGCTTGACTGGACACTGCAGTTAGGGGTTATGGATTTACTTGAAAGATGAAAACATAAATTAGAGAGAGATTAGCCTAGGGTATGTGTTTTCTTATAGCTGCTGTTTTCTATCTCTCCAGCACCATCTCCATCAGATACATGACGCTTGGGAGTGTTTTACTGTTTTTAGTCGATATGATTCTGTAATTAGGCCCGTCATAATTGTCAGCACCAGGCCCACTGGGCTCTTAATCTGGCCCTGAGTGCAATTGTAAACATTCTTATTTTCTGGGTTCTAAACAGCTAAATAGTACATTAGTGGGGTGCAATTCATATCTGAGAGTTAAATAGAAGCAACAAATAGTGCGGTTACAGCGCATTTGTAAACATTCTAATTGTTTGCTGATAAACTGCTAAATAGTACATATTGGGCATGCTCTTCATATCTGAGAGGCAAATGTAAGCGTCAAATAGTGCGCTTACAGTGCAGTTGTAAAAATTCTAATTGTTTTGCTGCTAATCTGCTAAATAGTACATTTTGGGCGTGCTCTTCATATCTGAGAGTCAAATAGAAGCGTCAAATAGTGCGGTTACAGCGCAATTGTAAACATTCTTATTTTCTGGGTTCTAATCTGCTAAATAGTACATTAGTGGGTGCACTTCATATCTGAGAGTTAAATAGAAGCAACAAATAGTGCGGTTACAGCGCATTTGTAAACATTCTAATTGTTTGCTGCTAAACTGCTAAATAGTACATATTGGGCATGCTCTTCATATCTGAGAGGCAAATAGAAGTGTCAAATACTGCTGTCACATTGCCTGGATACAATAGGGAAAACTGTTGCCTGGATACAATTCGAAAACAATTTCCATATGTCCTTTGCAGACTTTACATGCTGGAAAAACACAGGTGCCAACTGCTGTGGATTTCTGCAGTGTGCAGACCAGCAAGGAGTGCATGGTAGAGGAGTGGGTGGAATATGATGTGGAGGATGATGAGGTCCTAGACCCCACATGGAATCAGGTCATGCGAGTGATGTGTCCAGTTTGGAGGAAGAGGCTCTGGTCGCACAGAGGCACCAGCACAGCATAAGAGCTACCAGGGTGCAAAAGCGGAGCGACCGTCCCCTAGCGCTCGTCAGCATGTATTATCTTTAGAATTCCCACAGTTATCCAAGTAACAGATGGAGCGATAAAAGGAACCATAACAGATTTAACGAACCATTCACAGTTTCGCAGTACAGTGACCGGGACCCAGACACTGTCTGGGCGGCAGTCGGACGACCGGGACCCAGTATGCCTGATGTTGAAGTTAGGAGTCATAGTGTGGAATGCATTAGCAGGGTCTGGTGCAGGCTAACCGCATGCCTACTGGTGTTGAGCACCAGCATTTGTGCAGCCACATACCAGGACCCTGATGCAGCTTCAGTAAAAATAGTACTGGATACCAGAAGACATCACCAGACTGATCCGCAACTTGGAACAGAATGTGACATTCACTGTAGCGGTTGTGCGCACTTTCGGTGTTCTCACCCTGCTGCTGCTCGCCTGTCTGAGCTGCAATGTAACTTCGGCCTTCCCGCTCACTGCCTCATATGTGACGTGCCCACAAGGTGTAACTCCACCTTGCACATGCTGGAGTAACTGTGTGAGCAGCAGCAGGCGATAGTGGAGTTTCAGCTGCAGCACGTACTAGTCAGTCGCTCTGCACCAGACTCGCCCTCCAATTGATCAGAGTTAAAGGATTTCAAGTGGACTCATTACAATTACAGGGCCTTTAAAGAGTCCTGTATTGTTATTTGTCGTCACTACCTTCCCACGTCGAGAGTGGGTCATTTGCGCGCCTGCTGCCTTCCTTGAATGTGGTAGCCGTTTCTCAGGCTCCCTCTAAGGAATCGAACCCTGATTCCCCATTACCCGTGGTCACCATGGTAGGTGCAGTAAATGGCATCGAAAGTTGATATGGATGACATACGAATGCGTCGTTGCCTTGTCATTGTGGAGCCCATTGTAAAAGTGCTCTAGCATGATGAGCTGTTTGATCTCCTCCAGGAACTTGGCTTGATGGGAGTTGAGCCAGTTCTGGGTGGCCCTTGTGATGTGGCACGCCCACTCAGCATAGGAGTCCTTCTCCCCTTTCCGGGTCTCCCTAAACTCTCAGCGGTATTGCTCAGGGGTGACCGCATACCGGGCCAGGAGGATTTGGGTAATAAAGGGATAGTCTCTGCTCTGATCTTCTGGTACAGAATGGTAAATATCCGCTGCCATCCCCACTAGTTTGCTGGCCAGGATGGTGACCCAATAGCTGGGGTCGACGTCTTGGAGTAGTCACTGGCGCTCAAAGTCTTGTAAAAAGTCCTCCTCCACCGCCGCTTCCACCTACACTGCCACAGTCACTGCCTCCTCAACCTATGGGTCACTTAGTATAAACTATGTACACAATAGCAGAGGCTTGTGAAGGCCTTTTCTCCATGCATTATGAGTTGAGCATTTCTCCATGCTTCAGGACTGCAAGAAATGCACTGCAGGCCGCAAATGTTTCTTTTTTTGTATGTCCCAATATTTTGGGGGCTACCCCAATTTAAAAAACAAATCAAATAAAAAACAGTGTTGGCTACCTCCTTCTCCACCACCGCTTCCACCTACACCGCCATGGTCACCGCCTCCTCAAACTATGGGTCACTTAGTATAAACTATGGACACAATAGCAGAGGCTTGTGAAGGCCTTTTCTCCATGCATCAGGAGTTGAGTATTTCTCTATGCATCAGCACTGCAAGAAATGCACCGCAGGCCGCAAATGTTTATTTTTTTATATGTCCCAATATTTTGGGGGCTACCCCAATTAAAAAAACAAAAACAAAGAAATAAAAAACAGTGTTGGCTACCTCCTCCACCTCTGCTTCCACCTACACTGCCACGGTCACCACCTCCTCAACCTATGGGTCACTTATTATAAACTATGTACACAATAGAAGAGGCTTGTGAAGGCCTTTTCTCCATGCATCAGGAGTTGAGCTCAGTTTGAACAATGAAAGAGAATAACCTGCACTCCAACCCTCTCTCAAATGAATACTTCTGGTGATCCTTCTGACAGCCATGCTTTAGATTTTGATTTATGTTCTTCCAAAGCTAAAATCCAAGATTCCATCTAGTGCTATTTTATGGCTCAGCTGTATTTTTAATTTGTAGGTATTTTATGTTATTTTAAGTGACTTATCCACATTTGTTTGCAGGGCACTTGTCCTACTCTTACCCCACCCCTTTTGTGCCCAAAAGATCGGGTCCCCATTGACTTCAATGGAGTTCGGGTTCGGGGTCAAATTCGGGGTCAAGTTCGAGCCCGAACCCGGACTTATTTTCAAAGTTCAGCCGAACCCGCCGGACCGAACATCCAGGTGTCCGCTCAACTCTACTCCCAAAGCTTTCGGATGGGAAAGCATTGGACTTGCTGAGATCATCAATTCTGATGATCTCAGCCAAGAAGGCAGAGCATTGGCCAGCACTACCACACCCGCTCAATGCTGGAATAAAGGTGAGTTTTTACTCTATTTAAGGTGAACAAGGGGGTGCCATCCACCTAAAATGTATTCCCGACCCTATATAAACTGAGACTGGGAATAAATGTAGGTAATCCAGCCACTCCCTTACTTTACAGTTAATCCCATTGTGCATAGGGATTGCAGGGGATTTGGGGTCTCAGTAGTGTTTCTAACAAAATTTAATAAGTACGTGAGGCTTGGTGAATCTTTGATATACCATTTCTATAAAAGCATAGTTTATATACATCAAAGAGTGACTTCACAAGTTTATCATATTACGTTAATTATACACAGCGCTTGCATGTGTGTAGTGAGCATTTAGTGGTTGGTTAAAAAGAACAGAGGAAGGGGTTTCACATGCATGGCTTCTAGGTACATTTTGATTAAGGTTCCAATGTGACGGTTCTCTATTAACTTCTATTGTGTTTCATAGCCCAATTTCAGCCATCTAAACTAGCCAATTCTATCACTATGCGGTAACCCTGATTGACAGCTGCCATCACTCTGGAAGAAGAAATTAATTTCATATTGTCCTGAGAAAAGATGCAGTAAAAGGAAAATGTAAACATTATAGCTACATTGTCAAAATGGTTTGCTGCTGCTACACTTTCATAATATTTAATATATTTGGAGACTAAAACTAATGGGTGCCATGCTTAGAAAACCACCACCTTAGAAATAGCTACAGCTAACTGAAGAAGTTAAATCACCATGTCCACCGCATTGAGAATAAGCCAGATTTTAAGCTTGACAACTGGAAACACAATTGTCACAACAACAGTTTAAAAGTTATGTTCTAACAGGCCAATTATTGTAGAATTTAAAAAGCACATGTAGAGGCCAATTGCCCAAGAAAGCAAAGGTAGTGGCCAATTGCCCAAAAGGTAATACATAAACTGTTTATACTACTGCTACACTGCCGGTGTCAGAAGGTACTGAGCTTGGCAGCTGGATAGTTATTGTAAGCAGAGCCAGATTAAGATTGCACATGGCCACAGGCAGGATGTCAGATTCAAGATCTCTCCTAGAGCCTGAAGCTCTGTTCTGTGAGTGGTGGCAGCTGAGTGTTGTACCTATTTGCGGCAGATGGAGTGTTGAATGTGAGAGTGTGCAGTGTCTGAGTGTTGTTATTGTGTTGAAATGAATGAGAGCTGTATATAGGGGTAGGCTAAGTGTGCCTGTGTCTGTGGTGGCTGAATTTTGTGTGTGAAGGGAAGTCGGCATGGGGCTGGAGTGTATGTGTGTATAGGGTGATGTAGTGTGTTTGTGTATGGAGATGAACCTAGTATGTACAGTATATAGGGTCGATAGTATGTGTGTGGGGGATCTAGTATGTGTGTATGGGATCTATTATGTGTGTATAGGGGCAGTAGTGAGTGTGTGTGCATAGGGAATCCATTGTCTGTGTAAGGGATCAACTGTGAATGTGTAAAGTGGATGTAGTGCATGTATAGAGAATCTAGTGTAGGTGACAATTGCTGAAGTGTGTGTGCTTGTGTATATAGGGAATTTAGTGTCTATGTAGGGGGGACCAGTGTGTATGTGTAGAGTGGCTCTGGTTTGTGTGTGTAGGGAATCCACTGTGTGTGTATTTTAGTGTGTGTAGGGGATCCAGTGCGTGTAGAGTAAAGGTAAGGAGTGTGTGAATATGTTTGGGTGGGATAGGGGATGTATTCGGGGTTAGAGTGGATCACATTTTTTTTTTGTTATACTTATTAACAAAAAAAGGAAAACATATTTATTTCCCCCTGCTTCTTATCTTGTTGTGTATAGTGATCTCGCCTGCTTACTGCCACCTTCATGAGCTGTGCTCCTCTTTAGCCAATGCTAGGTCCAGACCAGGAGCTACTGCAACATCTTCCAGACTCTATTCCCTGATCTAGATGTAAAAGATGGTTTATGAGAGATTTAACAGGTCCTTAGGCAGACATTTCCTGCTGCTCCCACCTTTATTAAGTCAGTACTGCATCTAAATGGTGTCAGCTGGCTATGTCTCCATAAATCTTTTGTCTCTTGTCTGACATCTTAGCCACGAGTATAGTATGGAGTACAGTTTAACATAGGTTTGTGTTTCCAAGAGACACATCATTTCTCCACCTCTTGAAGTCCAATAACCCAACTCTTTATTGAGAGGGGGTGTTAAGTGCCAGTGACAGAGATCTCTCAATTCTGCTCACTCTCCCTCATTGTGCCAAGATGGAGCGACATTTAAAACCCTGGCCGTCCAATGGTGCAATACTCTAGCCTGCACGTCCGCCGGATGCAGGCTGAGTTTATGCCTCGCGTGAGCATCTGCACAGTATGGTGTCTGAGAGTTGCAGCTGGTTACCACAGACCTCACAGGAATAGTCATATCCCAAACGGTTCGCCGAACGGTTCGCCGAACGGTTCGCCGAACGGTTCGCCGAACGGTTCGCCACGGACGGCGAACATAAACATAAACTTTGACCCTGTACCTCACAGTCAGCAGACACATTCCTGCCAATCAGCAGCAGATCCTCCCTCCCAGACCCTCCCACCTCCTGGACAGCTCACTAAGAATGCAGCTTCACAATGAATGTAAAATGGATGCTGTCCAGGAGGTGGGAAGGTCTGGGAGGGAGGGTCTGCTGCTGATTGGCTGGAATGTGTCTGCTGACTGTGAGGTACAGGGTCAAAGTTTATGTTTATGTCCGCGGCGAACCGTTCGGCAAACCGTTCGGCGAACCGTTCGGGACATCACTACACAGGAAGTGTAGTGTTAGCCCTGTATGTCCTGCTGGCCTTGGACCATAGCCTCTGCGGCCCATCAGGCAATTGCCAGTTTGTTGTAAGCACAGTCAGGGTGAGGCTTCCTCATGGACAGAGATGGCTTAATGGATAATCTGGTTCTGATTGTAATGGTATTTTAATCATATAGTTATTATATATCTTATTATAAACTAATGAAAAAAAATATTGAGAACAATTTTAAAATCCAGTTTAAAATACATGGCTGACCCTGAAACAATAAAATAAAGATCGCTGCAAATTTAGTGACATTAACTGTAATCGTTTTGTTTATCTTTGCATGATCAGAGAGGAAAGCTCAAGCTGTGCTGCAATCTCTGCTGTATTTCAGAGTGGTATGACTGTCTGCAGCTATTTAATTTAAGTTTGGTGAATTTGAAAAAAAAAAAAAAAATGCCCTACAGCCATCTTTAATGATTAACTGTCACTTTACTGGAACTTACAATACTGAATAAAAAATAAAAAATAAATTGCCTGTAACTTGTGTTAACCTTTTTCCATGTCATGCTCCATTTTCTTTTCTCATAAAGGTTTAGCAAATTACATAATAATCCAGTTCAAACAAGGCAAAACCAGACCACACACTGCAAATGAAAAGGAGAATTAGAAACACCTATGCTTTCTCTGTGCTGACAGAGAGGTGTGCAAAGAACAAAACTTATAACAATGATTGTAAGATGGAGGACCCATTGGACGGCACCCCCAGGCATAAAAGGGTTAAACTGACGTTTAGTAGATCTCCCCTTCCAGAGACACAGGGACAGCTACTGTAGACACCAATCCACCGAACTGGAGAAGCATATGAATGCCGTAAACAGCTGAACCGGAACCACACGAATGCTGTAAACAGCTAAATAGGAAAAACCATACAAATAGGTTTACACTCCTAGCAGTCAAACTGGAACAGCATACAATAAATCCCCCCAAGAACGAGGCAAAGCTCTGTGTTGAGGGTCAAGCAGTGAACAGTCAGAGCTGTGGATTTATTGTGCTTACACATTCTTACACATTAGTACCACCCACAGGGTTTTGGAACATAACCAATAAACACATACAATACACTCAGATACTCCCACACAAAATCCTCCCCTCTGCCTGTGATACAATTACCTTACACAATGGGTAATGTAATTATAACAAGCAGAGAAATACATTTTTTCCACATTATTCATAACTTGAAAAGTATGCATCACATTCACATAAACTTACATTTTCAGAATCAGCATACTCCAAATACAAATATATGTCAAATTCATACAAATTGGTCCAATGGTTCAAAAGATAGATCGTAGTCCTTTGTGACCAAAGGAAGCATGGTTTTTCTGCCCAAAACCAGTTCCACAGAGTCTTCTATCCTGGAGATAATTGGGAAGTAATCCAATTATCTCCAAGGACAGAGGCAAAACTCCATTGAACACATGGCAGCAAAAGACAATAAAACACATACAAATATATAACTGTGCAGCCATTGCACAAAACAGGTACATTCAACATATCCCCAGATAGCTCAGATCTGGGCGCACATTATTACTGAATGGCACTCAGAGCACACACATACACTTCAATTGCCATGGAGCCAAAGTCTTTCCCATAGTCTTTCATTATATGAATGGGCTCCATGGCATAGCTATCTGGGGTATCACCGCTCAAACAGGGCAAGCACCAAATGACCCGGCTTTCATGTCTTTGCAGGGGAAAATCAAGCCTTTTAACATAGGGCCATAATCCAAAGGCAACAGGCGAGCAACCAGGCTTCTCCAGTGCAATGTAGCGAGATTGCTCTTGTCACAACCCAGTACTAGGATAAAGAGGTGTGGATTCCTACATTTAATTTTATCACACCTCACAAATAAGTATTTATTACATTTGTTAAATACATAAACAAATCTGTGATAACAATATATAAACATAATATTAAAAATCCTAAAAATGGCCTTTGCCTTTGGCAAACCCCTACTTGTGGGCTCTCCTGCTGAACATCAATATTACCAATGATGTTGCACACCAAAACAGCAATGCAAACACATATCTCAATTTTGCACATTCATTTATCTCTAAAATCTTCATATACTTCTATATAGGTGCTGCCCCTTGCACAAAACCCCATAGTATGACATGTTCCACGTCACAAGCTGCCACTGCCTTACCCCCATAGTGTATGGTATAGTGAAATTAACCGCTCACACTGTGATATCTTGTCCATTCCTGCTCTTCTCCTCAGTCTCATCCCTCTCATCCCCCTGTGTTGACAGTCCGTCCCTTTCTCAAATCTCTTATGTGTCTAAGACACTCTATCTTTATTAGATATTCTTTCTTCTCCTTTTCTTGTCTTCTGAAACCCATCCTTATCTTTCTCCTTCCATTCTTTGCTCTTGTGGTCTTCTGTTCCTTTTCAGAGGTCTCTATTCTTTTCCGATTTCCTTAGACCTCCCCACATACTTCTCAGTCCTTCTTTTGTCTCAGTCCTACAACCTCATTCATTCCTTCTCATGTTCTCACTTTTCACTTGAAACCCCTATCATTCCCTTCTGTCCCTTCTCAGACTCCAAACACTTTGTAAAAAACCTAACTCCTATCTATCAATTGTTTCCCCATGCTTACCCATTTCACCTCTTTTTTTCAAAATCATTTTGTAATATAATATTTTCATATTGTAGTCATTTCCTTATCAGACTCCAAGTCTTACTTAGCATTCTCATTAATTTATACCCCTGAACATTGTAGCCTACATGCTAAATGGTCAGTTAAAATAATATCTACAACATTGATTGAGTGTCAGGATGGCTTGATCGTGGAGAGTAGTGATGTCCCGAACGGTTCGCCGCAGACGGCGAACATATGCGGTAAACTTTGACCCTGTACCTCACAGTCAGCAGACACATTCTAGCCAATCAGCAGCAGACCCTCCCTCCCAGACCCTCCCACCTCCTGGACAGCTCACTAAGAATGCAGCTTCACAATGAATGTAAAATGGATGCTGTCCAGGAGGTGGGAGGATCTGGGAGGGAGGGTCTGCTGCTGATTGGCTGGAATGTGTCTGCTGACTGTGAGGTACAGGGTTAAAGTTTACCGCATATGTTCGCCGTCCGCGGTGAACCATTCGGCGAACCGTTCGGGACATCACTAGTGGAGAGCAATTAAACCAGGACTCTTTACTAGATGTAACTGTATACCATACAGCCAGTGTTTGGCCTCCACTGATTTGTGGTTGCATACTTGCACAGACTGCATATTGTACATCCAGCCAGTCACAATACGGTACTATGTAACATGGGCAAATGTGTTTCTGATTTCTAAACACTTCCTGTTTACCTACTCTGATCTTACAGGGACACTATATAAGCTATACAGTGTAATATAATGGTTCTGGTGTCTACAGTCTGTCCCTTCAGAGAAAAGGCAGTGTTTACATTGAAGCCTAGGAACACCTCTAGTGACAGTCACTCAGACGGCCACTAGAGGTGCTTGTTGTGTATCTGCACAGTGTGTATCACCTACATTCAGCATCTCCACACTCTATATGGCGGCGCTGAACGTTCCCCATAAAGATGTATTAATTTGTTGTATTTCTATAAGGAGATGCTAATTGGTGACATTTTGCAGCGCAAGCGTTATAGCCTCCCATTGTTTTACTATAGGAAACATTGGATTGGCAGAGATCATCAAAATTAATGCTCTCAGCCAGAGAGGCAGGACCAGACCGGTGAGACCAGCACGGCGTGGGAGAAAAGGTGAGTAGAATCACCTTTAATCTCCTAAATGAGGAGACCAGGGACCTAATGCTGCATTCCAGCACTAAAGTGTCAGGAATACATGTCTGTATTGTATTTCATAGTGCAAATTCATTTTAAATTCCCCTGGAATTCTCTGTTTAGTAAATAACCCTGATAGCATATAGTTACACTATAGTTATAGCAGGTATATTTTAGCTTTAAGTATGCAAGACAGTTTTCAAATCATCACAAGTCATTGTTTGACCAATAAACTCTTTCAGTCTTACATGTGTCCAGCTTTACTCCTTATAGTCAGCAATGAATGCTGTGGACTTTCTATATTACCTATTTCTTGTTGTCCTTACTGCTTCTTTTCTGACCGTACGCTGGCTTCCGATATTCTTTAGAACTTGGTTTATTATTGCATGCCAAGCTCATCCACCTCTGCACAAATTGGAAAATAGCATTGTATTGTATCCCTCCACTCTGCCAGCAAGCAGCATGTACCATAACTTTCCACCTCAACTTTCAAGTCATCTTACAGTACATCAAAAGCTGCCCCTACACATATCCTGTCTCTATACAGCAGAATCCTTTAGGGATGCACAGCAACCATTATTTCTCTTTTCTTTGTCATCTACACCTATCTTATATGTAACCTGTTTGTCGGATAATAATGTTTTGTCATTCTTGGGTTAACATGCTTATCTTTCATTTTCATTTTGAAAACAAATGAATCACATTGAATCACAATGTGCATTTAGACATAATGGTTAATCACTTGCGGTTCTTGTCATTGAGTTTTTCATTCAATCTTTACAGCATATTTTATAATCCATGTTTGTGTATTGACTGCCAACAGCAGAGATTTTCCAGCTTGTAAAATTTGCTAATCCTGAAGGAACAATGCTTATAATTAGATAAATCAATATTCCTGAGCAGGTAGTCGTACATACTTGACATAGCAATAAACAGGCATTTTTTTTCCCCCAAGAAGAATGGAATTAGATTTTCTCACACATCCGATGTGTAGATATTATTACTGAACAGAAAGGTTCTCAATTTTTTCTAATTTTATCGGACGTAGATGGATGATAGTCTGAGATCATTCTTCCTGGGAAAAGGACTTACAAATCGAGGGTATGAGTATGTTCTACAGTAAGTGACACGACATCTGTCTCACCAGTTTGATATTTTAAAATAATTAAACATGAATTATGTGATCATCTGTTTTCATATGACCCTGTAACGGCAGGTTGATGTTAAGCAATAGCATCTCCTTATATCTCATTCATTATAGTGATACAGTATATTTAGTTGATTTAGGAAATGTTAATTAAATAGTTCTAAAATGCATCAGTCATGATGAGTCTGTGGGTGTTACATTAATACATTCAATCATTTAAAAAGAGTTGTGTGCACCATGACAGGTAGGCTTTAAAATGCTTTTAAATTTGAATTACCGTGAATACATTATGTAGATTGGACACAATAGATTGAGAGAGAAATAAAACAATCTAAGTTATATATATAGTTGCCTTACAAACATTAAAGGGACACTCCACTGCACCCCAAATTCAAAAGCAAATCACTGTTTAGTAGATACACCAAACTAAAAACACGACTGCATTTAATTATGCACGAATTCAATGAAGATCTACCAGAGGATGGTAGACCGGCTCCTAGTTGAATTCCAAGACTATGCCTGTGCCTATCTGGACGATATCACCATCTTTAGTAATACCTGGCAGGAGTACTTGGCCCATATAGGAGTGGTCTTGTAGAGGATCAAAGAACCAGGCTTAACGCTTAAGCCTAGCAAATGTAATATAGGTTTACTAGGCTTAATATACAATCTAAATAAAAGTGTGCAAAAGCTGCATATCTCTTGTCTGAAGCCTTTGCAAGCCCTCCCATTCCATGCACAGACTCCCCAAAGCAGATTAATGATAAATCTTTGCAAGGCAGGTGCTCTGGGCATTTGCTGCCTCTTGAGTTCAGCTTCACTGAGCTAAACAAAAAAAGAAAATTACTTGTGGCCTGCTTGAAAACCAGAGGATGTTTACCAGATTAATTTAAAAAAGTGTAAATTTCTATTGAAATATGTAAAATTATAAAAGAGGACACCCTCTTAACACAGCAAGTATTTTGATAAGCTAAAGTGCTTTAGAGTTCTGTAGAGTCCCTTTAAACTGCATCAGTACAAGAAAATATTATACAGCCCTGCAGAATTTGTTAGTGCCTTAGAAATAGTAATAATAATTATATTATCTATCACCTAAATCTACAGAACTTTTTTTTCGTTGTTTTCTCCATTTTAAAGAGTATCAGGTCAATGCTCAGTATAAACCAGGCGTTTACATAAGATTTACTGCTTCCATTAGTTAACAGTATTAGACATTTTACAGTATGTTCTAATATTTTATATTCGCCTGTCTGGTTTATATATCTCGTAATACTCTGTTCAGATCTAATTCTTCATTTCTGTTCTAGTGCACAAACCTTTGAAAATTGATTCAAAGATTATTGTCCCCTGTGTTAACTGTATCCAGGTACATAATAACACCGACTAATGTAATTACGGTGAGTGCTTTTCTGAACTACAATGTGTCATTGCCTAATTAAGTTTCATGCTTCAAGCGTAGACTTTAGTTGAAACCTTACATGCATTACTACTAATTATTATACCGGAGTGCTTTATATATTTTCTGCAGTTATTAGTGAGATAGGCATGAACTCACGCTTGGAAATAAAGTTCCAGAGTTTCTGTGAAAGCATAGGAAAAATAATACCGAATAACAATATCCCAGTTTAATGGGGTTTTTTGTGATCTTTTTTTAGTTGATATTCATGTTTTAGATGGTTTTGGGATCCAGTGCTGTAGGAAGATGATTCAGTTTAGGTCGATTTGTATGTCTCTATTCAATATAGTGGCTTGAGAATAAAGGATTCTCATCCTTTATCTCAGGTTTAACCCCTTAAGGACACATGACATGTGTGACATGTCATGTTTCCCTTTTATTCCAGAAGTTTGGTCTTTAAGGGGTTGAGGTACTTACCATTGCAAACCACAAAGAGAATTATAACAGAGGACATAAGCAGGTTAAGATGATCTTGTTATAATTCCAAAAATTCAATATAGACATGAGAAATGTAATGAGTTAAATATAACATTCTAAAAAATAGACTTTACTTGTACTGATGTTAGCTATTATTTAGTGCTAGAGGACAGTGGAAATACTATACAGAACATTAAAGATAGGGAATTATTATTGGCAACAACCAAATGACCAAGAATACCTTTCCCAATATAACCCTTAAAAGCACATTTTAAATATCTTCTTCCTCATTCTAAGGCTCCACTGGTTCTTTTTATAGCAAGTCTAAAAGATTCAACGTTCTCAAAAGAAAGAGGACACCATTAACAACATAAAAAAATGAATAATTCACTACTGACTAGACATATCTCTAGTGGGTTTTTTATATCTATGACTATATTGAAATAATTTAAGTGTTGTGATACTTTAGAAAAATAAATTATAACTTGTACGTTCTAACTTCCATGATTTGTTAAGGTAAAACCCCATGCACCTTGAAACATTTAGGGGTGTCAGAACGGGGAGGGGGTGGGATTCATTTAGGACCAGAGTAGCCAAAAAGAAAGTATAGCTGACTTAGAGAATTATTCTATTTCAGCAATATTGACCATCCACACTGAAATTCCAGCAGAACTCATGCCAGAACTCCAGAGATTGCTGAGAGGTGGCTGAGGGTACAATGGACATAACAGCCGGATTAGTTCCCCTGTCACACCTTGGCATGTCGTGGCACCCCCTGTGGTGGGGGACATCAAGCATGGGTAGTATGGGATTTTGGGGATACAAACTAGGGGAAATATGTAGGATAGTGGGGGACACTAGGGGGTGAGAAGTGTGGGAGAAAGGAGAAAACACGTGTCCTGTCTGTGTGTGCGTGTGTATGCATGTTGCTACAAGCCGGATTACATTGTATCAAGATTGAAACCTTGTGTTTGTAAATAGTGAGTGGCTGCACATATAGGCTTAAATGCTAAATTGGGCAGATGCTCCTAATACAATATGCTAAAATAAGACATTACCACCCGTGTATGCCTGCATATATCTATTTGGGGCCTGTGTACACCTGACTGTGCCTGTTTGTTTCTGTTTGTGAATGTCCATGTCTATGCATGTCTGTCTGTGCCTGTATGTACCTGTCTGAGTTTGTGTGTACCTTTCTGTGCTTGACTGTGTGTACCTTTCTGTGCCTGACTATGTGTACCTATCTGTGCCTGTATGTTCCTGTCCATG